AGCCAACCTGAAAAATCCTCCAAGAGATTTCTCTATATCTCTTTTCATTCCTTTAATAATTTGCCTCTAACTGGTGCCAAAGATGTGTTTGTTACAGAAAGGATTGCATTAACCAGTGGAAAAGCTGCAAATTAACACCGCTGAGAATGCAAACAGTAGGAAGAGATTGAGAATTCTACGAAAGGAAAAACTGGCCCCAAATACATTTTAGATCAGAAAACACCCTGAAAACAAATGATTAGAAGGAAGAGGAGGAATGTCAGCTATATTTTAAGCACAGGATTAAGCTGAGCATCAGCACTACAAAAAGTGCAGCTATTAGCTCTATGTTAAGAAAATCTAAAGAAAAAACAACAAACCATTAACTACAACAGCAAACTATTTCCATTACGATTTCAATAATAAAATCAGCCCAGACGGAAGCACTAACAGCCTGCCCTCTGCTTTTTCATCTAAGGGATGAAATCTTAAAAATGGTATTAAAAAAAAAAGAAAAGAAAACCAGATTCAATAAGTATCATAATCTTATCCAAAAAGCTGGTGATCCTCAGAGGAAGGCACTTTACTGCGCTACATTATCCTTAATCGCTGGTGTCATCTGCGGAGAGCTGTCACCTGCCTGGAGAAACCTGTCAAGAAGTTTTGAACCTAAGCCTAGGATGTCGCAGGACTCCGTAGCAGCTGACCATGGCTTCTGGTTGCAGACAGACTGATGCCTCCACCTAACTCCGGTTGGAAACTCTGTGCCTGCTCTCAGCGGGTGCCACCCACCGCAGGGTCACCGGGGTGCACTGCGTGGGTAACTTAACCTCTGTTTTCCCCTCTGGAAAGATGGTTCGTTGGTACACTGAGACACTGCAATGCCATTACCGTTTGAACACTACTCGGAAGTCAACACTGTGTAGACTACTGCTAAATATATCCCACTACGTTATCAACTACTACCATTCTTACTTTTATTGCACTTAGATGACGTCTGCTTGTGCTTCAAACCATTTTCATGTTGACAGCAACTGCAGTGAATACATAAATGTATCTGGCCACACCAAAAATTCATTTTCCATCTCCTGGAGAGTGCAACACTGGACAGGGACAACAACAAACGCATGCACACAACATGCACCAATGATTTATTTCTGTACTGAAATACAGTATTGATTACTCTTGATTTCCAGCTTGGCCAGCGTCTTTTCTAAAATCTGAATAAAAAACCTGGGTTTTATTTAAAAGCATGATTCTCTTCTGTGGAAATTAACATAAGCCTGTAATCTAAAAAGGAAGGATCCTGTCAAAATAACACAGTTTTAAGTGTTGGGAAAACAGCAAAACTCAGCATGAATAGAGTAAAACACAACTATTCAAAAATCCTAATCGCAAAAGCTATTTTTAATCATAAATGTAGTTAAGTTTAATATTTACAATGCGTGACATATACACGGTAATAAAATATGCCTATCATTTTTGCCATTATGAAGTTAATTGGATTTATCAAATAGATTGGCTTACATTCATTTTATTAGGATCTAGCTTAAAACTGCTAATATTATTTATTCTTACTTCATCATTCATAGTCAGAATACAGCAATTTATGGCCAAAGGCCTTTGTATTCTACCTTGAGTAATTTATTTTCTAAGTCGTTTGTCTGCACTTTTAATTGTAGTGGTAGGACACAATGCCAGCTCCCAGCTACCACAGTGAGTCACGGTATTGTTTGGATCTTACATTTCAAGGGCAGCTCTTTACCATGTATTAAATCCTCCGGCCGTTCAGAGGCAGCTCAAACACCACTCCCATGCCCTCCTAAGGCCCTGCTGAGGGGGATGGGACACCCACAAATCTCCTGCCCTCACCCACTTCTGGGACACTGTTGGGGCTTTCCTCCTCCTGGGTTCCCTCAGTCACATAACTCAAGTCCTGGGTTTTTCATTCCTCGACCTTTCAGTCTGGTCTGTCCCCACGGAGTCCCAGGGGCCCACTACGCAAGCACACTGCAGAAGTTTCTATAGGTTTAGCAAAGCCATTGATGTTCTCGAGCACCCAAACCACATCCTGCAGCACAGGTCCTGGTTTACTGTAAGTGAATGGGAAGTCTGTATGGCTGTGAAAAACATAAACAGAAGCAACTTGATTTTATCATCACAGCCTGTGACAATACCAGAGAGATGGAGTCTCATTTCAATGGGATGTTAATTTTCAAGTTATAGGATGGTACTTAAACCAGGAAACTTTTCAGACAATTTAGATGCACAATTTGCCATAAAACTACTCATGCTCCTACTGCAATTTTGCATATAAATTGGAAAATTGCATTTACAAATAAGCAATTGAGTAAACAGCAGAAAGAAGCAAAGATGCTAATTGTCCTTATTACCTCCAAAGCAATTTAACATTATTGTCATTAACGTAAAAAATATTTTTTATAAGTGTATGTGACTTCAGTGTAGGGCAAATGTTTGTGAGCAGCACAAGTGGGACATATATACTGACATATATGCCTCATCTGTCACCTAGCTCTGATCAGATTAATACTGCTGACTAAATAAGATTAATTTCTGCACAGAGCACATAGCTGTCCTTCAACGTTATCCTACACAATTCTCTCAAAATCCTGCAAATTAAAAATGTGCGTTTCTACAACTGCAGGGAGAACTTTTATAATACTTTCCCAAACACAATACCTTCACCACTAGCTGTTCTGCAAAATAAAGCGGAGAGCAAAAAAATTCCAAATTCAAAGAAGATTAGTTTAATCGCATCCTAACCTTTGAGCCAAAGAATTTTGAGAATGATATGAAATACTTAAGGTGTATTTCAAAGAGTGTATTTTTGAGCAACAGAGAATAGCTCTAAAGCCCTTCTCCATAACGCTATTTAATAAAAAAGCCAATTGCAGCACAGATGTGAGCATAAACATGATCTTGGCAGTAGCAGCAGTCATTGGGGAATCTCCCGAGTGTAGCTGAATCTGTAACTGAGTTATTTCTTTAAGGCACAGCACTAGCCACTTTCCGTTGGCTTTTCCAGAGGAAACAGTGCAAAACTCTGGTGGCACAGGCAAACACACCACATGCCTAAACAGAACAATTTCGCGAATGACCATTGGGAAAGTGACCACACAGGCTGCAACAGGTCAGCCTAAACCATCGACTTACCTGCCACAGATGCACGTGTAGGAAGTATGGCGCATGCCACCTCGAGCGTAGCAGTAGTGTTGGAACAGGCTGCAAAGAAAGAAAGGTGGTAATTAATAATATCATCACAAAGTCACAGAATAGTTTGGCTGCAAGGGACCTTAAAGATCATCTAGTTTCAGCCCTGCTGCCATGGGCAGGGTCACCTTCCACTACACCAGGTTGCTCAAAGCCTCATCCAGCCTGGCCTTGACAAATTATTGACAAATTATTGTTGGCAAAAGGTATCTGACCATAGAATGAACAGGATAATACCAGTTAAATGCTAAAGCTGGCCAAACTCCCTGAAGTGGAGTTGAGAAAGCCACTTCTTGCTGTATTTCAGATACACAGTCATATCCATGGTCCTTATTTTCAACCCTTCTGCCTTCAGTCTATGCCATGTAGGTTCAGCAAAACTGAAGTCCAACCAACCCTTCACAGGGCAGGAGCTCTCCAGACAGACCAGCGCTTCAAAACAATTTCAGCAGAAGCTCTCCCATTTTTACCCCCTCACTGGCACCCTCTGCTGAAAGCTGAACTAAACAACCCTATGTATGAGAGAAGCCTGAATCAGATCTGACCATGCTGTACACCCTCCTCTCCAGAGAAGCCTGCAGAGCTCTCCCATGACACCACACCAGGCACCTTCTGCGAGCGTCACCGTCCATGCTGGAACATGGAAGAGAAGGGAGAACAGCCCTGTGCCCTCCAACAGCCCTTGTCTTGCACTGCTGTACTGCTGGAGGAGCTGTTTGGCCTTAAAAGCATGAAAACATTTTCATCTTCACTGTCAAAGTCCCCTTCACATCAGGGCAGATGTGCCCAAAGCACAATTAATATAGGATTAGGTGCTTTAAGAGCTAAGCACATATCATGGATCCTCTCATTCTTTTTGAAATATGCTCTAATTACAATCCAATTCCCTTTAATACTGAATGAATTTCAAAAACTCATTTCTTGTAATACTGAAATCTTGCCATTAACACGGAGCGATAACAGTGCCATTCAGGAATAAAGATGTTATGATTTTGTCCTTCTGCCGCAGCAGTCCACAGAACACATTCAAATTCTTTGAAGGATATTGAACACATTACATGCTTGTAAATCCAAACCAGATTTTAAAATTACACAAAATGACAATACGTAAAGGGAAACAAAACAAAACATACAAATTAATCACACAAAAAAAAATTGAAAAGCCTACATGTAGAGACTTAGTAAGGAGACCCAGTTTACATCATCTCTTTTCTGCTCAAAATGCTGTGGGTTTACAAGGCAGAAATACTAATTTTATATTGCCCCAGAAAAAAGCAATGGCAAAGAGTAGATGACATGACAGAGAAGCTAAGGAGAAACTCTGACACGGTGAGAGCACGGCAAACATATCGCTAAATTGAGCTAATAAAATTTATCACCTAAACTGTCATTTGCTTCAACACAGACATTTGTCACCGAATGGACATTTGCTATGGAAATGAAGATACAGATCTGCTCCTCCCTAGCATGCTTGCAGGCAAGGTGTACTGTAAGACACGACACTATGCACAAACATTCTGAACAACAACATATTATGCTGTTATAGATGTGTAGTTTAGGAAGCAACTTTCAGTGTATTTGATAGACCCTTCACTTAAATGATTGAATAAACTACCTCCTCGAGACAGCAAGTTTCAGTAACCTTCTAAAAAGCTTTAAAGATGAAATAATGAAGGTTGTAAACATCTTTCCGTCATCAGTGATGCAGGGATAGCAGGGTTTATTTTTCCATATGACAACTAATCACATATTCATGGCTGCGATTTACATGAAACTGCAGCCGAGTAACAGTATTCACCTTTTGCAGTATTCCCCGATTAGCAGTAAAAAGCAGTAAATAAATTAAGACATGCTTCATATAATCCAGCTGTTGCCTGAACTTTTTTTCTGTTTTCTAAAAAAGGAGTCTGACTGTTCCATCAAACATTATGGACCTTCTTTTAAAAGTAAGAAGTGGTTATTATGTGAATGAGCTGAAGACAGCCCAACTTTGCCAGGTAATGAGTTTTCAGCGAGTAAAACTACTCACATCCCCCTTTTGAATTTACTTTTTTTTGGCTATGACCCATTAGAAACATGTTCATGCAGATGGAAAAAACCCCAGCATTTCTATCAGAACAGCAAACATCCTTGTATAGCACGTCATACACGAGTGAAGGATTGCATATCCCTTTAATGGCAAATGCTGGCTTTTCAAAGCTGAAAAACGTATGTGTAGAATGAGAGACGCTGCCAGTAATTTGGAGTTAAAATCCTGGCTCCACTAAAGTTAATGCAGATTCTGCCATTAGACTTTTCACACCAGGATTTGACTGTCTGCACACTGCAAGAATCTTCAGCCCCAAGTGCGAAGCAGAAGTATACAGTCTGCAGTAGTTGGGTGGAATATCATTTAACGTGGCACTCCACATCTATTGCAAATATTCCATGTTGCACTTTGCCTGGTCTTTTTGATTGGAGGATATGTGTCCTCAGGCAGTTTTATGTTGGTGCTGGATGCTTTGCCAATGCAACCAACAGATACAGAAGTTAAGCACCTCTTTCTCTTCTCCTTCTTTCGTGGGTCTCAAAGCTTCCTGTCATGTTTTATGCGGTATTTCCCTGGAGGGTGTACGTATTACTTATCACTACCTCGGTGGTGTACACTGATCAGCCACTGGTGTATTTGCATGTCAGATGTTACCTGTTAAATGCACGCAACTTTGAGCTGGCATGCGTTTTGCACTGCTTTGGAAACAACTCTTTTTTTTTTTTTTTTTTTTAAATGTAGAGGTCCATCCTGGTGCTTTTCCTTTTTGCCAAAAACATCAGCTTCTTTATCTGTCTGACAATATGTGGAGAATTAAGGTAGTTAAAACCTCACTGTTTTTTCCATTAACTTAAAAAAGGGCAAGTATTAGCTGCCATCAACTCAAGTCCATCTGACATGACTGCACTTGCCCCCACGCCTGCAGATTTGCTGAGGCACAACACTGTGCTGTCCCCACTGCCCTGCTGAGGCTTAACTACCTTACCGACTACACTGACTTGAGAGAGAAGAAAACTCTGCTTTAAGAAATAATGGGTTCTTCATCATTAGAGATAACATATTTGCTCTTTCTGAGTACATATTTGCTCTTTCTGAGACCTTGCGGAGGATTGCACCCATCCAAACAAAACTCTACAATTCTTAAAAAGCCTCAACTTCAAAACAGCATAAAAGCCATTAAAGGAAAACCTGCTATGTGTATTCTTTCTGACAAATTGTAAGAACCACTCTGATTGCTATGTCTTATGATCATCTGTGGTCCAGTTCCTACTGCTACCTAATGCACACTGACAATTACAATCAGATCTGTGCTATGAACGTAAAACTGAACCAAATAAAGTAGTTTAATGACATTTTTCCTAACTTCATTGGATTTATGGAAGAAAGGCACTTAAAGGAGGAATAGAAACTATCTGTAATGACTTCACTCGCACTTGTTGCTTATTTTCAGATCTTCCTCATCACCAGAATGCAACATACCCATACACACTCAGCAGAGTGTGACTGTGATTTCCCAAGAGAAGTAAACAAGCAATCTCTAATGAGTTCTTGTCATCAGCTCTTCTTGACTTGCAACAAATATTTCTAAGAAACCCACATTTTGTATTTCTCAGCTATTTGCTCCCAAACCCAAGACACTTCTAGATCAAAAAGATTCAGTTTCTAAATAATAATCCAATTGAGTATTTTGGCCTGTATCTTACAAAACAGGTAAAACTGTAATTATAGAAAAGGCAGTAAGTATAGAGAAATGAGAGGGAACAAAAAGTGGCAAGAATATCTGACAAAAAACCCTATTAAAAACTTAAGCCAAGTTTCTATAACACTGCCCAATACACCCCTCAGTGCCATCTTCTGAGGGTTCCTCTACTCCAGTCCCACGGCTTTAGTAACTACAGCAAAACGCTGAAGAACCGGACGTGCACATCACTTTGGGATGGATGAACAATTACTCATTCCAACCCTTCTGATGAAGGAGGACCACAACCACTGAATAACCCTGTTTGTTAATCCCCAACACTGGAGCCATGTCAAGAACACCTGCTGGGTACTGGCAGATCAGGAATTTTAGACTGTGTATGAGGGAGATCTGCTGTCAGAAACACAACTTGCCTTGTGAAGCATACAACGTATGGAAGAGTCAAGGACACACATGGGTCAATATCTCATTAAGGTGTTTGTATTGAAAATACATTTATATATCAAATTTTTCACACTGGATCACTCACTGGTTTGAGAATGTTTCAGATCCACAATAATTTCCTCAGTGCACCTTAGAGAAAGTTGCCTCCTAATAAAAAGAAACCTTTACACACTTCAAAAAATAGTATTCTTTGAACACAGCCCTCGAGACTTGCCTTGAAATGCAAGCAGGTGGTTTTGAACTATAAATTGGAAACCACAGCAGCTTAAGGGAGTTCTGTACAGAACTTGGAGGATTTTCTGTAGGTTTTTTTTTCATGAACACAGTTGGAAGACATCAGTGAATATCTGTTAGTTATCTGTGCACCAAACTATTTTTGAATTACAACTAGAACATGCCCTTATGTTTTTGTACAGGGTAAATATTAAGCATTGCCATGAGACAAGCTAAAACCCAAAGCTTTGTTAAAGAATTCACAAAAGGCCAAGTTTTCCAAAGGTGATCTATCTATTTATACCAGGAATGAAAGTCACTGTTTTGATCATTTAGACACATAAGTATCTTCATACGAGAAAGATGTAAAGCCCAAATAACACAAAATTGTTAAGCCATTATAAATATAATTTGTCCATGATAACTGAAATATTTATACTTAGCATCAAACTAGGCTGGAAGAACCATGCACACAGGAAAGAAGAGGAGGCATCAGTAACAACCCATCAGTGGATACACGAGCAACATGAGCAGTGTCTCCTTTAAGCCCACCCTAGACACTGTGAGGTTCTTAAATACAGGGCATTTTTCTTTGTTAACCGATTTACTTTGGTCATTTATTTTTCC